CTAACCATATTTTATACATTTTATATTATAAGGTAAACTCTCTTAATAAATTGTTATCGAAATTATCAATTTTAATTCGTAATGCTTGGCATTTGTTTAACGAGTCTAATTTGCACTCTTTTATAAAACACCAAATCTTATTTAAAATTATATCGGATGTGGATATTAAAATTGATTTCTTGGAAATTTTATTTTAACTTCTCATTTATTTTTCACATGTTACCAAAATACGCGTCCTGTATATTCGTGCATCGTCGTCATCTCAAGTCTAAACTAACGGAAGTTATAATTTATGTACTAAGTTCCGGCGTGCGCCTTCTCGGCCTCTCGGGGCTCTGGTGGTAATGAAACACGTAGTTTATAATTCAGAAACGTCTGAGATCTGCTTAAAACTACAACTACATCGGCGGAGGTAAACATTTGTAACGAAATTTGCTTCATAGCTGATTTTTTAAACTTTAAAATCCAAGTTTTACGTGCAGCTAGTTCAAATTTAAATTGTCACAATACAACTACTGAAGCGGTACGCAAAGGGAGGTCATAGAAAAATTTTGTTTACGGATGAAAAATTTTTTACAACTGAGCAACATTTTAACAAAGAAAGTGACCGTATTTATGCTCAAAGCTCTAAGAAAGCTTCCCAATTAGTCGACAAAGTGCAACGTGGGCACTATCCGACGTAAGTATTAAACTAACACACTGTAAAAGTAATAAATAAATGTATGTAAATAAAGAGTATTCTCTGTATTCATAATAACAATAGCTTAGAATTTCGGTGGTATAAGATATTATTATAAGATAATATAAAGAAGTATAAGATATTATTTTATTTTGAAAAGAAATTAAACACAAACACACAATATTGAATAGAAACGTCTAATTCTACATTATATTATATATTTGACCATGATGTGCCGTTTAGTATACAGAAAATTGAAGTTTATATTATATTTTAATTTTTTTTTTTTTATTTCTATCAATCAAAATATGCACCACAGCGCCGTAGTAATAGTTTTTCAATGTCTTTCAATTTTTTTCCCTGACTATGCTGATAGCCTTGAGAGGCTATTTCAGCTTCATCCTAGCGTGTAGGTCAGCTCTCGGGGTTCAAGCCGAAAGGACCTTACATGAAGAAGTCAGGTGTACGGGTCAACAAATTGTTCAAAGACATTTTATACTGCGTATACTGGCGACCGTTCAATAACCAAGTTTTTTAGCTTGTCAACTTGACGCTAAAGGAGAAAGCTGCCGCTAACTCAGCGGGAGATTGAGTATCTTCAGCTTCCATTATCGGAGACGTTCAAACCAATAAAAAGCCGCGTATTCGTTTGTATTTATCATTAATGTTGTGAACCGTTTGTGATGAAAAAAAGTACAAATGTAGTGAATATAAAACACTAATCACTACACTAATGATTGATTTTGAAAATTTAAATAAAATTCAAATTATTATCTTTAATTAAATTAGTTATAAATAAACTTACATTAATTATCTATATTATAAAATAATCATATTAATAAAAAAAATATTCCAATACAATTTGAATTTAGAATTTTTTTCCCAGCCGTTCAGAAATGAAAATTCAAATGGCCAGTATTGTAAAACTGTAATGGTCACTAACAGGTTTAAAGACATTATAATTCTATAAAGTTCATTTTAGTTTTTTTTAGTAATGTTTAGTAAAGTACATTCATTAAAAAAGCATAGTTGCAAAACATGCAATTATATGGGGACATGCTGTGCGTACTGCGCCATCTGTTTTCATTTTGAGAAACTATATTAAGGAACATATTGCGACTTATGTGCCTAGTTTGCTAGCTTTATTATAGGTGGCTCTGTCCGAGTTAAAAGTGAATTTGAAAATATGTTTTGATGTTACATTATTATCTATACTAGAAGGTCCCGCAGTAGTCGAAATTCGACTATAATTAATTGGAATTGTAAGTTTGTACACTATTAAGATTGTATCTTATATTTCTATAATCACAAATTTCGCCAAGAATACACTATAAAAAATATTAACAAAGACAAACCATATTCTATTCTCAATTTGACAACAGACGTCAAGAACAAAAGTTTGACAATAAATAGTATGCATGCGTGTGCATCAAATACATGGTATGTAGTGTGTGTAACGTTTTCTTTATTGATTTAATGTATCTTTTATGCATTATTTTAAAAAAATATTAGCATTGTGCACTTCTTCTCTATATTCTCTATAAGTGTGGAAAATTTCATACTCCTCCGTCCGCGCAATTTTCATAAAAAGGGATACAACGTTTTTGCTTCACGTATTAATTATTATCTATATAATTATACAAATTGCTTTCTGTAGATTTCTCTTTTATACGAATTTCTCGATCTTTACAAAATAATTTTAACTGAAAACGAAACACGACTCAAACATGAATTGTATCAGCTGCTTCTTCTAATACCTAATTAAATCTTAATATATATAAACGCGTGTCACGTTGTTTGTCCGCGATGGACTCCTAAACTACTTAACCGATTTTAAATTAAAATTGCACACCGTGTGCAGTTTGATCCAACTTGAAAGATAAGATGGTTTTTATTTCGATTAATGGTCGCCATATTTATTAATTAGCAATAAAATGATTCCTTACGTTGATTTTTGTTATTAATTGTAAGTTTCATAAGTCTAAAACAGATGGCGCCTTAAATCGATTTTACGGACAATTGTAATACTGTCTGACATTAATACCTCATAGATGACGCTGTGTTAAAAATACCATCGTTTCACATAAGCTACAATTTAATGGCATAAATGCTACGTGTTGCTGAGGCTAAAGTATAAGTGAAATTTATTTCGTAGTAAACGCAATACAGTGAAATCCAGTTGTTCTTACTTTGTCAATTTTTGGTATTAGCATAACCGGCCGCGTGTTGTTTAGAAACAAAAACCTTAGCCACAGCAACGTGTGGCCGGGTCTGCTAGTTAATTATAAAAGTGTACCTACGTGTTTAGTACAGTAAAAGCACGTAAGTTTTTTTATTTCGTCATTACTTAATTAAATGCAATTGGCTTTGCAGCAAGCGTACCGAATATATTTTTAGTCAATGCTAATGAAAACAAAACCTTTTTTTAGCCATTAGGTAGGTATATGTATTTTGCGCTATCATCATCAGCCCTCAGACCTTGCTGAATATAAGCCTCCCACAAGGCTCGTCACAATAGCGTAGCTCGCATCCATTAGATTCCCGAAGCTTTGGCAGGTCCTAGGTTCATATCGTGGGAGACCAACCCACGTTATCCACCTAACTACTTACTTTGTATTTAGTTTCATAGTTTCGTTTTAGTGATGTAAAATACTCTTCTTAGTGGGTCGCGTTACCGATCCGGTGATAGATTCTGTGAAGCACTGCTCTTGCTAGGGCCAGTGTTAGCAACAATCCGGTTCGAAAAAAAAAGAAGTAAAATATTTAATATTATTATTTTTGAGTAAAATAAGAAAAAGAGCTAAGCCTGGGTCCCTTGCCGATACCCCTGAAATGGAAAAACTGCATTCCAAGTCACGATCAAGACTATATGGAGGCGCGCGTGGAGAACTATTTAACTAAAAACATTTTTATTTATGTTTTAAGCTGTTTTGTCACTGAACATATGATCTTCAATACAGAAACGTTTCTATGAAAATATAAATGAATTTCTTTTTTTTCCTACCTATACTGATAGCCTAGATTATCAGCGTTACCCTTGAAGTATGTATACTATAGCATAGCATAGCATAGTATTAGCATAGCATTTAGTATATAACATAGTTATAAGGTTGGAGGTGTATAAACACCTCCCAAAGTACAACATTACAATCCTAGCGTGTAGATGAGATCTCGAGGTTCAAACCGGAGGTGTTAGCCCTAGCAAAAGCAGTGCTTCGCAGAATCTACCACCGGATCGGAAACGCGACCCATTGCGAAGATCCGGCGAGATACTCATTGGGCTGTGTCTGAGGGTTAATTCACTCGCCAAGCCCTGCAAGCGACGGGTTTGGCGAGGACGGTGACCGGTGCTTGAGGTACCTAAAAGCACCGTTAATGGATCAGGAGGATGCGTAATGACGTGTCTTATTTGCACTTTATACCTATAGTTCGTAAAGTAGATTACTAGCCGTGTTCGCGACTTCACGTGGACTTAGGTCGTCGCTTGGCAATTCATTTTTAGATTATGAGTCATGTCATTACCCTTTTCCGATTTTCAAAACGAATGCTATTTATTGAGAACTACAGCGAGAGAACAGCAGCGTTATTTGAGTATTATACTAACATGCTGTGATCTTATTTGACATTTACTGTTGGTAACGTATGTTTTAAACCTACACNGTGTTCGCGACTTCACGTGGACTTAGGTCGTCGCTTGGCAATTCATTTTTAGATTATGAGTCATGTCATTACCCTTTTCCGATTTTCAAAACGAATGCTATTTATTGAGAACTACAGCGAGAGAACAGCAGCGTTATTTGAGTATTATACTAACATGCTGTGATCTTATTTGACATTTACTGTTGGTAACGTATGTTTTAAACCTACACGAGCAGATACCGCCATCCTTCCTATTTCTGCGGCGAAGAAGATAATTTTTTACTCCTATATACTTTTTACTTTTGCTCCTCGTATGTAGATCAGCCCTTATACATACTATACGATTGAGACTTTTAACGGTAGGCAGCGGCTTAGCTCTGCCCCTGGCATTGCTGAAGTCCATGGGCGACGGTAACCACTCACCATCAGGAGGGCCGTATGCTCGTCTGCCTACAAGGGCAATAAAAAATAAATAAATAAAATTCGACATCATTCAAAGTGAGGGGTGGCACGCTGTGAAATCACCGCTTAAAATAATTACCCAAGAAAAACGTAATACTGTGGAATCTATTATCAAGAATTTTCTATGAGTACACCTTTTTGGCTAATCAAAAGACAACAAACTTCTAATGTCAATTTAAATTTTCTTATAACTTACGAATTCGTCTTAAGTACTCATTGAATGTTTAAATTACTAAGTAAATTAAGCATTTTATTATCATTTATACAGTTGTGTGTTTCTATGAATAGTTTTTTGTATTTTAATAAGAGCGAGTTCGTGCAGAGGGTGTCTAATGGTAGAGCAGCCAAACTCGGAGATGTACCGTATCAGGTATGTTTATTTTTGTATATATCCAAATATATAAATATATATTTTATAAACTAGTGCCTTTTAATCCTAACTATACTTTCGTTTTTTTTTTCTATTTAAATCTTTGTCTTTGAGAGATTTGTTAAAGATAATGAACGATATACTTAATAATAATTGCGTGCAAGCCGTTTGTTGAAAGATGAAGCACTTAAAATCATAATAAGTCTCGTGTTTTTTTAATTCACAAATTATATTCGAATATTTAAGTGTCGAAGAACAACAGCTTACTTATTCGTTTTCTCGCATTAAAACTGTATAATCTCAAAACTTACTAATTTTACAGGAGAGTGTTTTAAAGGTTTAACATGTGATATTTATTATATTAATCATCTTTGCAGCATTTATTTTTTATTTTTCACCTGTCTTTTAAAGTAAGATAAAATTATGTAATAATTTTGTTAGTAGTAGTCAAAACACAGGTAAACTAAAACTAAACTACGCTCTTTTGACAGTATTTATGAGAGAAATACTGGTGATACCAAATGATTCCGCATATTAACTCAATTTGGAATATTTTTGGAAATTGTACACTTTTAATGCGAAAAGACGAATCTGTGATCATGAAAGCTGTAAATTATTCGAAAATTTGAGAAATCATATTCAAAACAAATATAAATACATAATCAAATAATACACCTGTATAATTTCAAATTCTTAACTAACTCAATTTTATACATATGTACATATTTTAATAACTTTTAACTGAACAATGAATAATAGGTAAGACATTGAAAAGAAAATAATAAAAATCTTCGACACAACTTTCAGGTTGCTTTTAAAGCTTTGTATTCAAGAATTCGTAATTTGTACGTCACCTTCTGCGGTGGTGTGATAATAGGGCCTGCGAAGCTGATCTCTGCTGCACATTGCTTTGAAGAAAAAAATTCTTACTGTCGGAAGTTTTGGAGTAAGAGGTAATAATATCCATTTGTTGTATAATTAGAAAAGTGAAAACGGAAACATAAGGGGTTACTGGTTTTTCTTATTAAGAAGAAAACAGAGGGCTTAAGAAAATTGTAGGAATATTGTTTTTCTACCTTTTTCTTCTTCGTTTTGGTTATTTGTATTATATAGATAGATTATTTCTTGTAACAATTTAAAACTTGAAAAAAATGTAATTCAATGTTTTAATACGTTTTTATTCGCTTTGTCTTTAAACTTAAAATTGTCTTTATCTTTACTGGTGGTAGGACCTCTTGTGAGTCCGCGCGGGTGGGTACCACCACCCTGCCTATTTCTGCCGTGAAGCAGTAATGCGTTTCGGTTTGAAGGGTGGGGCAGCCGTTGTAACTATACTTGAGACCTTAGAACTTGTATCTCAAGGTGGGTGGCGCATTTACGTTGTGGATGTCTATGGGCTCCAGTAACCACTTAACATCAGGTNTTACTGGTGGTAGGACCTCTTGTGAGTCCGCGCGGGTGGGTACCACCACCCTGCCTATTTCTGCCGTGAAGCAGTAATGCGTTTCGGTTTGAAGGGTGGGGCAGCCGTTGTAACTATACTTGAGACCTTAGAACTTGTATCTCAAGGTGGGTGGCGCATTTACGTTGTGGATGTCTATGGGCTCCAGTAACCACTTAACCTCAGGTGGGCTGTGAATTCATCAACCCATTGCGGTAAAAAATAAATAAAAAATTATAATAATAATTGACTGCCTATTCTATCTAAAGATCTTAAAATACAACGCTGAATTGATACACAATGCGTTTGTATGTATAAATATAATTACCTACTTGTACTACTTATCATGTTGATCTTGGATGCTTCAGCGGTTTCTGAGCATTATAACCGTCTTCTTTTGCAGACGAAGTTTGGAAAAACTATAAAGCGTTAAGCAGAGCTTAGTTTTTTGGCATTACGGGTGACCAAAGCGCGACTGTCTTATAATAATATGTACATAGATTATTATTTATTTCTGAAATTAATCTTTTTTAGCACTGAAGTATCCGATCGTGTTTTAAGACGCGTCGTTGCCGTCGCCGGTAATCTTCAGAATATCGTAGCTTATTCTTACAGAGACAGCTTGCAAAGTGGCCAATGGAGGAGCGTTTATAATATCATATATCCTACAAATTACAGATTCCCGGTACACGACATATCGATCATCGTAAGTTCTCATTCAATACAAATTTAAAAACTAGTTTTACAGTTTAATCTTGCGTTTATTATTTTAATTTTAATGTATCCGATTTTTTTGAAAAATATACAGTTCTCGTGGTCACAGTTACTGTTTTTTTTTATTGCCCTATTAGGCAGACGAGCATGCGGCCCACCTGATGGTGAGTGGTTACCGTCGCTCATGGACTTCAGCAATGCCAGGGGCAGAGCCAAGCCGCTGCCGCTGATTGAACCATTTTTTTCTCCTACCTATTCTAGTGACCTCGACGGGTCATACTAGATTCACCGGGTCTAACCTGACGTTTGCTAACACTAAGCGTAGTAGTGCTTCGCAGAATCTACTACTGATCGGAAACGCGACCCACTGAGAAGATCCGGCGAGAAACTCAGTGGGCTGTGTCTGAGAGTTAAAGAACCATAAAAGTAGTTAATTATGTCTACTACAGACGCCGGATCTAATGGACTTAGTTTACGTCGGATCGCTTTTTGTTCGTTTCTTTAGATTTCTTTACAATTAAGTAGTGTACGTAGAAAATTGAGTACTTAAAGTTAATGAGTTTTGTAGTTTTATTACATTGTCTATAAAAAATACATTTTTTCACAGACATTGAATCATCCATTTACTTTCAACCAATATGTAAGCTCCATACCAATAGCGTCACAGTTTATCGATTATCGAGGAAAATGCTTAGTTTCGGGTTACGGAAGGATTACAGAAACGGTAATATATAATACATACTTTGACTTTAAACATACTGTTGTAATTTTCAATCTAGGGCCCGACTTACTAGACCCAATCTGTAATTGCAATTTATTTTATTATATGATAGAAGTATCGACAGCAATGCAGTTACGCCTATTTTATGCTTTATATTTAGCTTTTGTTAGACCACTATAAATATTGTTTATAGTAGGACACCACAGCAAATCTGATAGACATATCTTTTTCTAAATTTATGCAGATCAAAAACGGTTTTGCGAAAAATATAGCTGTTAGCAATAATACTCTATTGTACTACCTGCCCGTTGACGGCTTACAATGTTAATTGCATTTTAGTATGCAATAAATTATACTCTTTCTCTCACTCATGATTACTTCTCGTTAGAGATATGAAGACCCTATGTTCTAAGTCGTACGAGCTCGATTCGCATACTTTTAGTTACCACCTTGTACTCGAGATGGCGGTAATTTGTGAGTTAGGAATACAGGGTGATCTATTTTGTTGTTGCTTTATGGGTGTTATTTAGGGGTTTTAGTGTATAGATTCACGGTTCACCGGCTTATTACTGGTTACAGGGGGTCATTAGTAAAGCTGTTTGAATACTGCCACCCACCATGAGAGATGAGGTCGATGTTTCAATAGTATTGCATAGCTGTGTATTATTACAAAGTACTATGGTACTGTATAACTGTAACTGCGTATAGCTGACTCAATTCCAAATGGAATGCCTGAATGCTTCAAGGCCTAGCTTGAGATCAATTATTCAAGATCCAGTTGCTATAGCACGTAACTTATTAACAAATTTCTATTTTTTTTCGTGGCATTATCATTTTTCCTATATTGACAATTAAAAAAAAATATTTTATTAATAGTCAGTTTCGTTTGTTAATTAGTAATAATAATAAGTTATTAACACTAAATAATAACACTTTACATTTTTTTAAGTCGTAGCGTGGCTGTTAGCTATTAAACAAATTGGTTCATTTTCTATGCTTCAAACACTTGATATCTACTTTTTCTTATCAGATTTCATCAGAAAAACTTCTTCTAGCAGATTTAGAAATAATTCCAGCGAGATTCTGTTCCGCACTACACAATACAAATATGCAACATTTTGTCTGCACGTCAGATCTAAGCAGTGATGTCAAAAAAGTATTTAAATTATAACAGATTTTAGTGTAACTTTTTTAAAATGCTTTTACTTTCGATTTAATTTAACTCACAACCAGAATGTTGTTTTTATTATAAACTTATTACATAGATGGGTGGACTAGCTCACAGCCCACTTGATGTAAAGGGGTTATCGGGGTCCATAAACTTCACAAGGATTATGCCACCATCTATCCTGTGACACTAGGAAAAAAACCTTTCTCAATTGTAAATCTAAACGGCTATTCCAGTAAAATTATAATTTGCGTAATTACTGGTGGTAGGACCTCTTGTGAGTCCGCACGGGTACGTACCACCACCCTGCCTGTTTCAACCGTAAAGAAGTAATGCGTTTCGCTTTAAAGAGTGAGACAGGGGTTTGTAACTATTCTGAGACTTTAGAACTTACACATAGCTCAAGGTGGGTGGCGGCATTTACGTTGTAGATGGTTATGAGCTGCGGCCACTTAACACTAGGTGGGCTGTGAGCTCATCCGCCCAACTGTGCAATGAAAAATAAAGTTTTCATACCCGAACGCATTACTGCTTCGAGCTAGAGTAGTGGAGCCTACCCGTGTGTACCTATCCTTTAGGCCACCACGACTTCGTTGAATTTTCTGATGAACTTGTAACCGCTTAAGACTTAGACGTTAGACTGAGTTCGTAAGAAATTCTAAGATCATAAAATACACAACACAATCTAAGAATTTTCAATCATTCTTACGACACGTGGACGGCACGTTATAATCGTATTTTATTAAATTTGTATTATAAGATTGAAGTGACTGATTATTTCGTAAAAAATCACAAGTTTAAAAAAATCGAAAAGATATCACTTTTAGACTGCATAAGAAATCGGGATCTCTTCATAATGAACTACAAATGATATCATAAAAAGTGCCATTTTAGTCACCGCAGCGTAGAATAGATTATGTTTAACTTGTAGGGCGATTCCGGGGGACCGCTGGTTTGCCGAGGCACCGGCGACCCTAACGACAAAGGTCGCGGCGTGGTATTTGGCATTGTCAGCGGTAACCGCAGAGGCGTCGGCTCTTTTTTCACCAGAGTATCGTCTTATCATTCGTATATCGAAAATAAAGGAAGCTGTAGAGACGTAACATTGTTATATATGTTGATATCAGTAATAAATTTCGAACTATTTTTATTTTGAATGCGTTTTATTAGTACCTAAATGAGGCACAGCTCGCTGTGTTAGCTGCGGGTAATTTGTATTTTTCTTAAATGTGAATTCTCCTTTTATATTTCGTATAAATACAAATATTAAATAGAATGCTAGCTCAATGATTACAGCCTATAACCATTCACATATAAAGATTTAAATTCATTTTAGGTTCGAAAATTTCTTTTTTTTCTTAGTAACATTATGAAAAAAGATGTACCTATCATCAACGTAACATAAAAAATCAAAACAGTCTTTAAAACTAAACAGTTTGTTTGACTCTGAAATTGTAGATGTCCATGAGTGACTTTAATTAATTAATGTGATAGACTGACACTTGTCAACTTCTACAACGTCAAAAAATTGTATTGACGGACAGCACTTTTTTTTTTAAAGTTAGGTCGTCGGTCTGTTTGATATTAAGAAACTATCAGAATTCGTAGACAATAGAACGTGAATGTCGCCTCTCACGTTCAGTGTGCTTAGTGCGAGTTTCTTAACGTTCTCGATAGTGTAAAAGTTAGCCCAATTTTGTATACAGTTGGAACAGCGCTCCTAGCGGCAAAGGTACGCAAACGATCCCATTCCATACAAACATGAGCTAACTTTTACGTTATAGAGAACGTTAAAAAATTCGCACTAAGCACACAGGACGGCGGTTGAAGTCTCTCTATGAACGTATGACTGCTTCGTGTTAGAAATAGATGTAATATTACCTATCATTGTTTTTCTTGACTTACCTTTGATTGACTGGTAGATAATGCTTAAGCTAATACCTGTTTAGTTTACATAGCCGAACTTACAAGGGCAATAAAAAAAAAAAAAAAAAAAAAAAAAAAAAACTTAATAGTCCGCCAAATACCTACATAAGCTGAAATACATAGATAGTGGATGGTGATGAATAGAAGCAGGTTAGGAGGTGAAGTAGCGGGAACTATTTCTAATAAAACAAATGATTTCCAAAGTTAATCGATAAAATAATTTATTTAGGTGCAGAACCATGTCTATTCTATCCTTCTTATTTTAGTCCAATAACAGGCATCTACGCTATTGTAAAACAACTTTGTATCCATGACTATGTATTACTATAACCTACAAAAAGAATTGCAAAAACATTGGACGATTATTATGTTAAAATACATAACGGCAAAATGGCTGTATAGACATAGTTATAGCTAAAACGTTTTAGTATTTAGCGGGTGAAAATATTTTATGTGACTCAAAAGCAGAATCGAAATGCAGTAATGAATCACGTTTTTTTACGATCCTTATCATTTATCGAGAAAACGCTTCACCACAATTATTTGGTTCGTATTTTACGTTCATATATACATGTTCCCTGGCACTTCTGTTTTAGTGAAATAAATATGTCTATTCATGATTTTACAAAACTTTTTGAAAATTCTATCTAAATTTCAAATACTATCAAGTTTTCTAACTAAACCCAATAAGGCGAAATTATTTTAATATAGGAGAGAAACGCCTATATTGCGTTTAAAAATTCGTATTCAATAAAATATACAAACGCCTTACTTAATAAAATGACTGTTACGAAGCTTGGAAACTTCACACGCTTATGGAGATAAAGTAATGTTCCTTTTATAACCAATTATTAGCTTGAGAATTTGACTTAAAACTAATTAAAAAATGTATAAGTTTAAATTAATACAATAAAACCCAATACAAAAATTACCAACTAAAATTAAGAAAAGTTATTTCAAAAGATAAGAATTATTATAATATGATATTCCGCTAGCCTGTTTTTGAATAACTTTGCAAAAGTCATCAAAAAAGTGATATTACGCAAAGAAGCTTTTTGAAGACTGTTTCAATTCATTCCATTTGGTCGTTTGTAAGTCCCATCCCCTGTTCTTAGTGCCCTCTTCTCAATAATATTGGTGGAAGCAGTTTTCAGATCATAAGCCCATCCCATCCATGCAAAGAAATCTATGAACCTTGTTGTCAAATTTATGTACCTGTCCCCCAATTCGTCTGCCCGATAATCCCACGGAAAAACGTGATGGTAATTGTGAAATCCTTCACCAAAAGTAAATGCATTTGCCATGCCACTTTGAGTAGCTTTCAGGCTCTTATCGTACGGTTTGTATCCCCACAAATGAGCAGCGCTATTTACAAGAAAAGTGCCATTGAGACTGAAAATGTATCTTAAAACTGTAATATGCCAAGCGTTGTTTAAGCTTTCACCCCAAAAATACATTGGAGCTAATGTCGGTATGATAAAACATATTGTTCCTATAAATGGTATTGCGTACCTGAAACAAATAAACATTCTTTTAGCGCGAACGGCATTTCGAAAAAGCAGCACGACACGAAAACCCTCTTATTGTGGCCTGCGGTAACTACATACGGGTACAAGGGTTCGGCGAGTAAATTAACCCACAGACCACTGAGTTGCTTGACAGATCTTCTCAGTGGGTCGCGTTCCTGATCCGGTAGTAGATTCTGCGAAGCACTGCTCTTGCTAGAGCTAGGCTTAGCACCGTCACCAGGTTAGAGCTAGGTGAGCTCACTTACTCGTTTTGTGAATCTAGCATGACCCCTCGAGATCACTAGAATAGATAGGAGAAATAAATTAGCGCTAAATCATCTACTAAGATGCATGAAATTGAATCTAATTGAAGAAGAATCACGGGAGTATTTTTTTTTGAGGCAGTTGGAATATTATGTCAATACACTAATTACATGGATACTTACTTTTTCTGAAATCTTAAAACAGGATTACAATAAATATCTGACATGTCAAGGTTCTTTCCAGCAATTTTCACCATTGGATGTTTTCGCACCAACAACCAGCCGATGTGTGAGAAAAAAAAACCTCTCGTAGCATTATGAGGGTCTGCATCGGTGTCCGTATACTTGTGATGTAGCCTGTGATCTCTCACCCATGTGAAAATGGTGTTTTGGAAAGCAATACTGTTGAAGACCATCAACAGGATCTCGAGGGGCAGTTTGGCTTTGTAACCATTATGAGACCACAGACGATGAGCTCCAGCTGTAATACCAAAGTTCCCAAGGAAGAATAACACAATTGCTGTAACAGAAAAAAAAACATCTCGATATTAAGATTTAAATGTATTTTTTCTCCCTGGCTTTTTAAAACATTCTGCTGTTTCAAGAGGAAACCAAGAGTCCATAGACACGGCTAACTATTTTGTGAATGGCGCACCCCGCCTTGATGTCCCAGTTAATTTTGAAGTCGTCGTGGCCTAAAGGATAAGACGTCCGGTGCATTCGTGTTGAGCGATGCACCGGTGTTCGAATCTCAGGTGGGTACCAATTTTTCTAATGAAATATACTCAACAAATGTTCACGATTGACTCCCGCGGCTAATGTATAACCTCGTGTAATAAAAATCAAACCCGCAAAATTATAATTTGCTTAATCACTGGTGTTAGGACCTCTTGAGAGTCGGCGCGAGTAGGTACCATCACCCTGCTTATTTCTGCCGTGAAGCAGTAATGCGGTTCGGTTTGAAGGGTGGGGCAGCCGTGGTAACTATACCTGAGACCTTAGAACTTATGTGTCAAGGTGGGTGGCGCATTTACGTTGTAGATGTCTATGGGCTCCAGTAACCACTTAACACCTGGTGGGCTGTGAGCTCGTCCACCCATCTAAGCAATAAAAAAAAATTATAATAATAATTACATCGTAGTCTTTTACTGGAATACAGGCAGTCCCACTCCCAGTCATCGTATCGAAGCGCAAATTGTTCATGCCAGATAAAGTCATGACAGTGGTATCAAACCATACGACCGTAATAATCCTACCGCTATTAGTGGTACTGAATTTTGCTACAAGTACCCAAAAATAATATTTAATGATGCTTACCAAAAACCGATGTAGCCAATTTTGCTGAGGTCAAACAGAGATAAAGTCCGTATAGACCAGCAACATGTAAATAGCTAAAACGTATCACGTTCATCACTACAATTTTGTGTTTGATGGGCGAGGCCTGGGGTGCAATGAGTTTTTCATAATCAACATGATTATCCTTGAGGTATTCTGTTTCATTTGTTTTATCCACTGAATTAGGAGGCATTTTAGTAATTTAGATTTCAATTTTATCTACTTATTATAAGTTATTTAATTTTATAATACAAAATATCTACTAAAGAAGTTCTGTTCTGAACAATACTTCTTGAAATTCATAAAATCTTTAAAGTGAAATAACATTAAAGTTAAATTTATATAAACAGTCGATAATGACATCACCAACGTTTATGTTACGATTTGAAAGTACCATAACTTAAAATAATAGAAATAAAGTCACGGACCAATATTAATGCGTTTTTATAAATTCGTGATTATAAATCTTCCAGGTGGAAGATTTGTAATGGCAATTTTTTCAATTGGGATTTGAAGGTTGATTCTCTTGATCCTTGAACTCTTCGTCGTAGTCGACGAGTTCGACGAAAATGGTTACCGGTGCTTGAAGAGCCTAAAAGCACCGAGTGGATCCGTGTGATCTGATAAGACGTGTTTTGGGCGAGGGTGGCTTTGTTTTACCCCGTCGCCTGGATCGGGTACGTAGTTAGCGTTGGTTATAAGAGGGCTATTGTGTAGCGAAAACACGTCATCTCGGATCCTCCCGATCCACTAACGGTGCTTCTAGGTACTTCAAACACCGGTCACCGTTCTCGTCGAACCCGTCGCTTGCGACGAAGGGCTCGACGAGTAAATTAACTCTCAGACACAGCCTACTGAGTTTCTCGCCGGATCTTCTCAGTGGGTCGCGATTCCGATCCGGTGGTAGATTCTGCGAAGCACGACTCTTGCTAGGGTTCGTGTTAGCATCGTCGTCAGGTTTGAGCCCCGTGAACTCACCTACTAGTTACGGTTACGCTGGAATAGCCTCTCAAGGCTACCAGCTTAGGTAGGAAAAAAAAAAGTCACGCTCCTTTTTCAAAGTAGCGTTCTGACGTCTCTTTACCTTAAGATACTATCAGTTCTAGATTTAGGTCGTCGTGAAGATCAATATTCCTCACACACCACGGTGCTCCGATAGCTATCCTGCAGAAACAATCGGGACATTTTTTATTTGCCTAACCCTACGGTCCATCTGTTGATTCAGTCTGGCGAGAGTGCAGGGAAGTAATTTAGTGGGTGTGACCTGTAACACCTTCGGTCCCGGCCTTGATCATCTTCGGTCATAGACTTAATCACATAACACATAATCCCAGCGCACCCTGGGCGTTGAACCTCATAGAGGGATTCGCCCCGAGACCGCAAAAAAAGTATTGAGAACCGGCATTTTCGTATCGCCTGTTAAGAGTACCTACACCAAGTATTTTATCGTTCAGGCCACAAAAATTTCAATCTATTATTATTTCTTGTTATACCACTTTTCACTTTAACACATACTTTATGATTACCATCTACCACGTTAATGGCCATAAATAAAAGATTAAATATTTTATAGAAGCCGCGTTGCGTTTTGGAGTTCGTAGGTTACAATTTTTATACTTAGTAGAGTAAATTAGTGGTTAGAACATGTTTAATTGATTAATATTTGAATTCATATTTTCCTATAAAAATTGGCGACATCACTTCGCAATAACAATTTTTATTTATTTATTTTCTACTTGTCAAACATAATGGTTAAATTAAGAAAAGGTCACAACCCACCTTTTGGTTTATGCAAACGTCTTCCATTGCTTCCTCCCAACGACAACAGCAACACCCAATATTTTACTGAGTGTGTTGCAACGGCGACTCGAGAATTCACCAGATAATGGGTAGCAATGTTACCATGCCAGTAGTACACATACTAGTGTACTGCGTGCGCCGGCGGCATTTGCTAGTAGTAGGACGTATTGTAAAAGCCCGCATGGATAGGTGCTTCCAATCTTCCTAACCTCTCCCGCGAAGCAGAAATGCGTTCCAATTTGAAAGGGACGGTCGCTATGCAATATAACTGAGATCACATGTCTGAAGGTGAATGCCAGTATTCACGATGTAATTGTCAATGGGCTTCGGTAAGCACTTTAGGAGCTTACCCATATGGTATAAGCAATAAAAACCCTTTTTTATATAATAATTATAAGTGTTATAACAATTAGCGGGCACATAATTTGAAAAAAAAATATTATTTTTTCTTCCTTTTTCTACAAACACGTATTGGACAGGCCTTTTTTTAATTTAAGTTTTTTAATTTTAAAAATATACTAAAACCTATCCCGCTTTGAAAAATATGGGAATAATATAAAAATGGATTCGTCTCTTTTTTTTGTATAGGTATTTCCAGTTCGAGTTTACGTCAATTTTTTTATACGTGATAACGTCTTATAAATTGATGAGCACCGGCTGCACATACGAAAAAGTGTCACGTTCCGCCTGAGCACGAGCGTGCAAGCGAAAGCGCGGAACACGCGATAGAGAGGCACGATCGACCCAAGCGTTAATTGATCAGATAACTTGTAATTTTCAATTGACTTCTTCTTTATATTGTACAAAATAATGATAATTTAGTGATAATAATTACACCGCCGTAACAAAAAGGTGGTATGGTAACTTGTGTACTTAGATACGTAATTTTGATTTTTTAATTCAATAAAATTCATAAACGTATGCAATTTTTCATTAATGTTTCTTCATGACGTTATCCTGTAAAACTATCGTCCGTAAACTGACTTTACAGCCAACCAATTATTTTTTTCAAAAGATTACGGATAAATTTATATTCTCGATCCTCAGTAACAACAAAATCAATCTTCTAACTCAGCTCTTCTACTAACTCCATTTCTGATTAACGTTTTCCAGTCAGACAACTCATCGTAAAGCCGTAAGCTGAATAATACTAAAACCATGATCGGGTTACCTACACATGGACCCTAATCGATTGAAAAAAAATCAAGAGTGCTTGGGTTATCACACACAATTAAGTTGATCAATTTATCTAATGTTTTAAAAATAAAGCGGGCATTTACGTAATGTATATCGTACTTAACCGATAATAACTAGAACTCCTACAAGGCTCGTTCCCTAATAAGTTGACAGTCCAGTTGGTAAACTGCAGGGGCCAGTTCTTTTGCTCATAAACATTCAAACCGCATTCGCCCAACAAGCATGACGTATTTGTACGGGTCCACGCTCGTCGTTTTAACACGTAAGTCTTGCTTTTAATTCTTAGCGGCAAAAACATGGTAATAAAGTATCAATGTAATTTTAACATGTGAGTTGCATTTTATTACACCGCCGTAACAAAAATCATAGTATGGTAACTTGTGTACTTAGATACGTAATTTTGATTTATTAAAGTTTTATCGATTTCATCGCCGGTGACATGGTGATTATTACATTACTTCTTTCTTACAATATTTATATACAATTTATATTCGTTGAAAAAAAAATCAATTGTATGTATTTTTGAAATACTTATCCTTTTTCATGCTTGGTATAGAAGGATCACCGGCAATTAAAGTCTTCCCATACCTACTGGAATGCTTAGTGCTTAAATAAAAATACTGAATGAAACAGAAAACAATGTTTCACACAGTCAATATTGGTTGTGATATTGTTAAAACCACTTTGGCTGAACTAGTTTAAGTTACTAATCAAATAATCTCGCTAATCTCGTTTGCTAGTATATGTACATATAATCGAAGGGATAATTTGTTCAAAACAACGCACGCTAAGCGGTAGACTATACCCCTGATATTACTGATGTCCATAAGCTTGTCAGTACCCAGTCACTATCAAGTGGCCTCAATACGTTTGCCTTCAGGAATAAGAAAATTAATTTCTGTTTTAAAACAGTTATATACGATAAGTTGGAAAAACAAGACTAGGTACAAACAATCGTTTTACTTTTGTTATTGTAGTTTACCCAAAGCTGAAAACAAATTAGTTTGTTTTGACTTATCTGTAATGTATCTATACATTATCTGCATTGTACGTAAGTTTTTGCAGAGCATGCAAAAATACTTTTTTTGCGAACAAACAAGATTACTTAGATAGATGGTCATGTTATTTGCGTTAGCTGGTTTACGTCACAATAAACACGCAAACCATTCCTACTCGATTAGGCTTCAAAGTCGATTTTCGAATGTAAAGCACCTCGTTATGTTGCCTTTTGGAATTTCAACTGGACATACGTTCTCGGACAATCTCGCGTTAATCGGTGTTTATTGGAGTCCGTAAATATGATGTGAATTTCGTCACCCACCACGAAGCATGCATGATCGAAGTCGCTAGAATCATTTAATGTCGTGTCGTATAAAGCAATGAGATTATACCGGTACTCAAATCCCGCAGTCAAGTCCCAAATTATCACAGAAAATATGTACTTAACACTTTTGCATAAACACCTTCTGTATAGAATATTTTATCTACATTGACTCCACCGAAGACGCGTGTAAAAGCTAGTATAGCTAACATAAAAAGCCGTATACAGATAAAAATTACATCAACGAATTAGAGAAAGTTTATTACTTCCCGGATGACTATTGTGCAATACGGTGCCTTATAGAGCGTACAATTCAATGACACGGTAATCGGTAACTAAGAGAGGTGCTTGACCGTTTATACTTAGGTACCTTAAATACCTATATACAGGGATCGAAAAAGTGGACCTTTAAAACCAATTACACGCGAATGAAATGAAATACACGTAATCGAGTAGAATAGGTCGTTAGTATATTGTGGATAATTTTTGGTGGAGATTAAACGGAACCAAAGTAAATCCTATGAAAGCATCCTGATACCTATCGTTATGTCGACCCGGCAGAATTGTATCTTATTACCATTTTTATGTTTATGTTTGTCAATTTTATTATTTCCAGTGTTACAACTATGCCGAGCTGAGATATCGGACTCCATGCCAGATCCTTGGTATTCGGCAAATGTCATTAATGATGGATTTCAACCGAAGCCAATTTCGGAAATATTTTCTACCGAATCCACGTTTTCGTCTACAAATCCTATTATTGTTTTACCAAAGGCATCAAGTTCACCTCAAGAAGGGACTAGTCTTTTAACGACATTGGCTCCATCGACTTTGAAAGTTTCAAGTGCTGGTACTACAGGAGATTTAACGGAAACACTATCTATGATATCAACGACACCATCAACTCCACTATATTCAACAGAAGAAACACCACAACGCAATCCGATCTCATTTCAAGTACAAACCGAAATACAACAATCCCCCATTTTGGAATTAATACAGTCAGTTCAACCTATTCAGCCATTGCTACCATCCGCGTCTCCGGAGCAACCGATTCAACAAACACAAACAGCAGACCCACTCCTGCCAGGAGTACAATCTATTCAAACGACTTTGCCCCAAGTTAACACTGTTTCGACAGGAGTACCTATTCAACCAACTGAACAAACTCAAACGCAGACCCGTCCTTCGCAAGCTCAAACTCAAAATCAACAAATTCGCTTAGAAATAGTGCCCCAAAATCAGCCTATTGTTAATCAACCAGCACCAACTAGGTTCCAGTCAGAACAACCTTCGACTCAACAACCAAATTTACAATTTTCATCTGTCACACCTTCGTCTAACTACTTTCTTATTTACCAGCAGGCTCCCCAAAACATACAAAATTATCCACCTCAACAGCAAGTTGCGCCTTTTGTAAGCAATCAAAACCCATCGTCTACAATTCCGACAACAACACTTTCCCCTACCACACAACCATTACCACAAGTAACAGTTCAAACAGTGTCTTCGAAAGTTCCCGAAACACTAACATCAACAAACGCGTTTGAAACAGTTTCGACGACAGCCAAATTAGTGGCATCAACAGCACGCACCATTGTTACGACTTCTAATTACCGAGCTACACAAGGTTTCAACCGAAAATTGGGAACACCTACTGCTATAGTTCAAAGACCGCCTTTATTCCCATGGATGATCCGCGTTGTAGCCCCAGTTGGATCGATCACAAATGTGAAGATAAATCCCACAAGCACGACAAGAAGACCCACTACGACCCGAACCCGAAAGTCAAAGCCTAAACGCAATAGATATGATGTTTGCATCGATTCGTGCAAAGGAAAGAAAGAACCTATTTGTGGTGTGCCCATTTCTGGCGGACACATAGACCCGAGGACTCTCAAGGGTTTCCCGTCCGTATGTCACATGGCTTGCCACAATTCCTTTAGGAAAGATAGTGAGTACTTTGCTAATCTACAGATCCTTAAACTTAAGTATGTACACTAAAGTACAACTGTAATACTTGTTTAACCGATATTTATACTGAGGAAGTGTAGAAAAACAACACGATGAAGTTTTTGGCTGTACCTACATTTGGTTTTTTTTTTTATTTGTTCGGCAACGCGAAACGGCAATTTTCACAATTATACCTACTTATCTAATATTATATGAACTCAAATTTTTCTTTTAAAGTGGTTCATTTTAACCTCGGTGGAATCGCAGGGAGTTTTGAATTTATTAAATGTATTTATAGTAGCTTCCATTGATAGGCAAGCAAGCAGCTTAAATACATTATATTGTGTAAGCTTAGAGTTCTACAAATCCGTTTTCCAGAATGAGCCACGCAAAATATTACACAAATAGGTATTTGTGAACTTAAATTTCTTTTTGTTTTCATCATTTATTAATTAATATATTTCACAAATTATGTTATAATACCCACTTGTTGGTCCAATTATGTGAACAGTTGTGCCAATAACTCGTTCAATAAAATCTGCTTTTTCAACTGTTCATATACCTACTTACTTATCAAATAATTAATACCGGTGATAGAGACTGGTTTCATAAACGCTTAACAGTGCGTGTAATCTGGCAATATACGAAGTAAAATAATCGGTTGTTTTGTAAATCAATAGTAATTACAATAACGGTTACATAACAAAATGTATTTAAAAAGTAATGTATCCCAGATGCATATGCATGTAATAAAACTTCATTTTTCTTTTACTTCTAAAATATGATGCGCGTGACGACCAAATANCATAGGTGAGGCCCTTTTCCTTGCCAGCCGGCAGCAGTTCTAATACGACCGCTGCCGACCGTGGGGCGCGCGGTTTCTTCACCTTGCGCCCTTTTCTCCCTCCCCCAGTCGTCGCTCGACCCATTGCTTGAGGGGAGGCGACCGCAGGGGTGGTTCGGGTGCTTGGCGCTGCAGCCTTCCTTCGCCCCCGCCTCACCACCGTGTTCCAGGCCTCATCCATGTTGGACGGAGCAGGAGGTAATGGGCGGGGCTGGGGGATCTGCGCCGTCTCANAGAGACTGGTTTCATAAACGCTTAACAGTGCGTGTAATCTGGCAATATACGAAGTAAAATAATCGGTTGTTTTGTAAATCAATAGTAATTACAATAACGGTTACATAACAAAATGTATTTAAAAAGTAATGTATCCCAGATGCATATGCATGTAATAAAACTTCATTTTTCTTTTACTTCTAAAATATGATGCGCGTGACGACCAAATATTTCCTAGTAACATTTTTTTTATGATTGAATGATGGCTCGACTGACTGGTGGCCCGAAGGCCTTTCCAGTTTCACCAGGACAGGTGGGCGAGTAAAGGCTCAGCCAGGAGGGGTGAGATTTGCTAACAACTGCCCGAGCGCCACCGAAGGAGACCTAACAACTCAAGAGCAATTGCTTCGCGAATTAATCTACTACCGGATCGGAATCGCGACCCGCTGAGAAGATCCGGCGAGAAACTCAGCGGGCTGATGCATGGGTTAGCTTGCACGTCGACCTCTTTGTTGAGTTCGACGAGTACGGTTACCGGGGTCCCTAAACCTGCTCCTAGTGTTAGAGCTGAAGGCGTCTAATGCAAAGGTTATCGGATCTGATGGATCCGTAAGATGAGACTTCGATCTCTATTACTAACTTTCGTTCCTAGTAACATATCAAGGCTACATAAAATTATTTATGATTTTCTGGGTTTCCACGGTCGTAGTTAAATCGTAAAGCCATTTTGTTTACAATATTCGGCGTTTGGAATACGATTTTCACATTCGGTCAAATCAGCTGTAAACTAAATGTTTGGTTACCGTTGTATGTATTTTACACACGTTTTAACATATTATTTTTAGACTCCTATTTTTAGACTCATTTTTATTTAAATTAAATAATATTAACTTACTCTTTATTATTTACAGCATACGAAAAATTGATAGACGGCAGATGCGGAAAGCTACGTTCACGAATTCGAATTGTAGAATCTAACAAGAGACTGAAGAGGCCGGAATTGAAAAAGGCCGAGTACATTGTGGAAAATGTCGGTCCGAAGACCATCTTTGAGTTTACAGGCTTAGTTTAGTCTATCTGAAAATATTTTTCAGTATGTTCGGTTTGTTAAAGAAACAACGGGACAATAATTAGCATTTAATTACACAAAATAAAACCAGTTCAGTTTTAGAGGTCCTTTCCTGTATATACACGAGGAAGATAAAAATCGCATCTACGATAAAGATAATTGTTTAAAATAAATCTTGCTTTATATTCGTATGTTTTCACGAACGCTGTCTACGATACTGCGAGAGATTTACGAATTGGCTAAGAGTTCATGTAGGCGCTCCTGCAAAAACATCGAAGCTCGGAGAACACAAACTTATTTTTAATAGGTAAGACAAATAGCTGATGGTTCTTACTGGTGGTAGGACCTCTTGTGAGTCCGCACGGGATGGCCCATTTACGTTGTAGATGTCTATGGGCCCCAGTAACCACTTAACACCAGGTGGACTGTGAGCTCGTCCACCCATCCAAGCAATAAAAATAAAAAAGTACCACATAAAGATAGTAAAAATAAATTAATAATAAATCATATTTCTAGAATTCATAGCGAATCAAAATACCGAAGCAATTCGACCGAATTCTGTGTATTATAGATACTTTAGGTACTAAAGCAACAGTTTTTACTAAATGAACTTTATTTTGCTTAGTCTCAAAATGATTTCAGTCAACTCTTAATTCGTTTTGTATTTACATACTACTATTATTGAGATTTAAATTTAATGCTTTTGTAAGTTGTTGAACTTTTGCCTTCTTCGACGGCCTACTGGAATATCATGTCATAAAGCCAATATCATATAGTCAGCACTCCCCATCGACCATGTCAATAATAATGTCAGACCTACAGACAAGCTGCAGTCTATCCATTACTCATTTAAAGGTCCCTTTGTAGAAAGACCTATCGTAACGTTCAAAAAACATGGTGGAAGGAGGTTCATTACAGTTGGATGATGCGTTGCAAGAATAATCCCTGGAAATGTAGTGGAAGGCCAAAGCGATTACATATAGCAGACTTAAACTCTGTTTATAAGGCGATTACTGGTGGTAGGACCTCTTGCGAGTCCGCGCGGGTAGGTACCACCACCCTGCCTATTTCTGCCGTGAAGCAGTAATGCGTTTCGGTTTGAAGGGCGAGGCAGCCGTTTTAACTATACTTGAGACTTAGAACTTATATCTCAAGGTGGGTGGCGCATTTACGTTGTAGATGTCTATGGGCTCCAGTAACCACTTAGCACCAGGTGGGCTGTGAGCTCGTCTACCCATTTAAGCAATAAAAACAAAACGAGCGGTGCCGTGGTATAAAAAAGATGACGCGGTCATTTCTATTTCTCAGTGCACTTGGAACACGGCGAAGAATGAAGAACTAAGTAAAAAAATTAATAAAAACAATTTGGGAAATTTTTAAACAGATAATGTAGTTTTACTGTAAGTAGTTTTAATGTCGACAAAGCTTTCGCACTGGAGAAATAAAGATTTAAGAGCCAAGATCTATGTATTTTATAGTAATTGATCATTTGATTAAGTTTATTGTTTAAAAAGTTTCGAGGGCCGTTCGTGATAATTTCAATTTTAAATGCGAGACAATTACAGTGAAGCAATTTTCAAATGAAACAATTATAGTGGCGTAAAATAAACAATTGACCTACAAAGGAAAATGCTCTTTATTTACAACACGTTCCATTTCCTTTATCATCACATACAACTTAAAATTATGATAATTTATAAAAATGTCTCTAAATATCATTTAATTTGAATAAAATTTCCTATTTGCTGTCCAACAAGCCGCTCGTACTTGAGAACGTAATCCCATTATATTTTTATTAGAGAATAGAATGTGAATCGGCAAATACCCTCAAAAACAGTATAAATTCCAATTGAAGGCAACCGAGCTGACGACCTGCCAAGAGTTAGCTGATACCGAAGCTGAATGATTTCACAATTGGAATGGCGACTTTTACTTTGAAACATGAGGTTGGAGTCTCAATAGTAGTGTATAAATTGCCTCTTGATGATAAATTAGAAAGGATCCCATCATATTTATGTTAAAGAATAGAATTTGAATCGGCAAATACCCTCAAAGCAGTATAAATTCCCAATTGAAGGCAACCGAGCTGACGACCTGCCAAGAGTTAGCTGATACCGAAGCTCAATGATTCCACAATTTAAATGGCGACTTTTACTTTGAAACACGAAGTTAGAGTCTCAATTGTAGTGTATAATTTGGTTGGTGGTATTAAACCTCTGCGACTCGTAATAGGACAATTTTACAAATTAATTGCGAGTTCTATTAATACACGAAATGATTATGTACTTTATTGTTATAGCTTCTTTATTTTTTGGCTCCGGCACGGTTTGTGCATTAGCCAGCGTCAAGTAATAAGATTTTTATAATTCGCCGTTTTAATAATTTATTTACAGTTTATGAATAATAAAAAACGAAGGAAACCCAAATTAATCAACTGACAGGAAATTAAATGAAATAAATGAGATGATATGGAATGGAAATAGATGGTCATTTACAGACTTTTTCAGTGGACTTTTTGGAGGATCCCGAGAAGTTACTTTCGGCGGCTTTGTCTCATTTTCCCACATTTGTGCACTTTCACAGATACTAAACAGTTAACAAACCACCGTTATTACACGTTAAAAACTGAAGAAACACTAAATAAACAAAAGAAAACAAATCACACAACTTCACTCCTCACGTTCCCGCCAAAAAGTCTTGTTATAACTTATGAGCACGTATTTGCTCATAGCCCAACTGTCACCAAATAGCTACTGGAAACAATGGGCATCACAACGAGCCTTGAGGCAAAGATCATTAGATGTCACAATACCATATCATTCTATTGAGCTATAAGATCTTTTCTACTTTTCAAGCCGGAATGGTGAACTGCTTTGTGATAGTAATCAAATCTATTAGCCACTTCAAACACATTGCTGATAGTAATATTCAATTTCAATAAGTATCTTTTTGTATTATAGGATTTACAACAGTTTTTTACAACATAGCACCCAATGTCTCTCACGTGTTTGTCACAATGACTATCAACATGAGATTTTTCCTTCGTTTATTTGGAACAGGTCCACCAAAAATACAGAGTACATTAACTGAAACGCATTTCACGAAATACCACTAGTTTTGTTTGACGGATCATTAATTCTATAGTTTTAAAAAAAGAAACCGTACGGCGACACATCACATTCGCACTGTCTGAGAGATTTTGAGTCAATATCTCATCAACCAATTTATAATTAGCACGTTTTTATTCATATGGTTCTAAATTCAGTCCACCCGAGTACGTAGACTCAGGTATATTGTATTAGAATCTTTGTTGGTAGTTCCCTTGTTGTTGGGAGCTTCCTCCCTGCTGCTGACTACCGAACATCATTTGTTGCTGTTGATGGAATTCCTGCTGGCCACCACCAGTGTTGTTGCCTTGGTTCGGACCTGAAAAAAAAAATATAACTAAGTGTCTGATAACACCTTGCTCTATTTTATTTATTGCCCGTGATTACTAAATCCTACTGTTGTTAATTACTCGTGGTTAACACTCTATTGTGTAGAGAAGCTAACTTCCTGTCTGGTTATATGTCATTTACTAGGCACATAAATAGTTTTTAAAGTAACTTTCTGAAGGGTTGGGAATTTTATTGTTCAGTATCAGTTGGCACTACATGACAATGCAGCAAAAAATAAATTTATACTTGAGTCGTCTATTATCAAAGGTGGCAATCTGTGCATTTGGACAAAAAAATGTTATTGATATGTCAATACAGATTGATTTGAATATAATCGTCTCCTTCAAAGAATACGGTTCAAAACCAGCATTAAATAAAGGTTAATACTTAACCTGTTATTTATCTAAGATGTCGTTTAGAAGAGTTTTGTGACTGCCAATGGAATACAAAGTCAATAATTCGTTTTTCTGATTTACCAATAATTGTCCAAAAGTCACATTGCCGGCTTTNATTGATATGTCAATACAGATTGATTTGAATATAATCGTCTCCTTCAAAGAATACGGTTCAAAACCAGCATTAAATAAAGGTTAATACTTAACCTGTTATTTATCTAAGATGTCGTTTAGAAGAGTTTTGTGACTGCCAATGGAATACAAAGTCAATAATTCGTTTTTCTGATTTACCAATAATTGTCCAAAAGTCACATTGCCGGCTTTGATAATAGTCGACTCACTTATGAATTTGTATTAAAACTTGTGTTATTTTACCCGTCATTCTCATCCTTTTGGCATTATTGGCACCATGATCGTGGCTGTTCTGTTGAACTTGATTCTGTTGGGTCTAAAATAAATTAAAAATAACAATAAAATTTAGTAAATGGTATCAATATACCTCATTATTCATCACATTTACAATTTACACAATTGTACAATGAATGTGTAAAGTTTGAAGCATGGCTTGTTGAGAAATAAAGTTTAAGACGTTCCGTGTACATGTATGAAGTGATATGACTATGTTGCTTAAATCCTGGAAGCAGGAAACATTTTTTCTACGGGCTTGGTATACATATTAACACTGCTCATGCTCATGAATTGAATGACTTCAACAGCGACTATATTGCGTAAAATCAAACGCCCAAAAATATTATTTATATATTACTGATTGATACCCTTCTTGTGAGATCACATCATCAGGTATCACCAATGTCCTGCTTATTTCGACCGTTAAGTAAAAATGCATTCCCATGCAAATCCCTCAAATGACCACAGATATTAGCATGAACACAGCATAAGGATTAAGCCAATAAATTATGTATAATTCGCTAACAAACCAGTTAGAATACATGGATATAACATATGTCAAAATCGTTACATTTGGTTGTTGTTGCTGTTGATTTTGTCTGGCTTTTGAATCACTCTTGTCTTCCTGATCGTCATCAGTCAAAAATTCTCTTTTCGGATACGGAATTGTACATCCGGCGAACACGTCCTATTAACGGAAAGTAATTAAATCGTTAGGTGATCATTTTGATTAATATAAATTAAATTGACTGTTAAATTAGTATATTATGGTGACCTAATACAATATATTATTACCACTAGTTCCTCTACAATATTATTAATATTTCTTTTCTTGCACAGGCTCACAAACATTTACCAAATCAATGAATGCCATCATTTCATAATGAAGTCAA